CGTCATCCGTATGGGACTGTCATTTGTGTTGTTGTGTCATTATTCTCGCCTTCCTGCTCGTCCTGCCGCTCCTGCGTCTCAGCCTCCTGCACCTTTTTTATTATTTTTCTGCGTTGTCGTAGACGACTGCAGCCAAAAGTGTACCTGCCAGGAGGACTGGGACGCCCTCGGCAGGAGATGGTGTTTTTCGGTGGTCAGTCGGCAGGCGGTTTCGAGGCGCCTGGAGGGAGGATGATGCTGAGGAGGAGGAGGGGGGGGACGAGGAGGAGGAGGAGGCTAATAATGAGAGGGTGGAGGATGAAGAGGAGGAGGAGAGGGCGGAAGAGGAGGAAAAGGAGGACAGGATGGGGGGGGGGGATGGAAGGAACAAGGGCCACCGCGGAAAGGAGTTGCTGCTGTTGCTGATGCATCAATCATTCGTTGCGCGCCGTGGGGGTAGTTTTACGAGCCAGGTGGCCCCGCGTACAGGTCCGAGGGCCATGCAGTTCAGCGTGCCTCGCCTTCCCCCCCTGTCCTCATTGGTCCCACGTAGGAGTCCTTGGTCCCGTTTCGGCCATGCCACCCCGTTCGCCCCCTCCCCCTCCCCCCGGGGTTGGGTGCACGGGCCTCATTGTATGAGTCTTCGCACTAAGACCGGCAAGTTGTTTTACGGAACCAATGGAAAATATGTTTCGGGCATTCTGCATCTACCTCGTACCCCCATGCCTCTTGAAAATGATGGCGACAGGGGAATAATATTTACGTCGCATTCGCCGAGGGTGGATAGCGAAGGGGTTGAGCAAGGCTGAGAAGGCCATCGATCAAAGCACCCAGCGGGATCCCCAACCCCCTCTTTAAGCCCGTTTCACTTACTCAGCGGTGTGACGGCTCATTCTCCAACATTCCTCCTCCCTCCCGCATTGGCGTTGCGCTTCGCCACGCGCTTTTGCAGACGAGGCCTGTTCCAGGAGTGGCAGGACAAGTGATGGGAGGAAAGAGTTGGCAGAGATGTGGAAGGCGGAGAAGCCTACCTCTCACTTTTCCATGCTACCCTGACTCCGTGTCGCCCGTTCACCACCTTCCTCCTTCCTCCTCCCTCTCTCCCTGCCTGCCCCTCACCCTCCTCTCGCCCTGACTTCCCCCTCAACTTCCCCCTCCCGACGCTGTCCCGTTCACCCGCGACGACACCCCTGCCCCGCCGCTCGCGGGCACCGTTCCTTGGAGCCACGCCGCTTCCTGCCCCTCCGCTGCTGCGTGTGCCGTTTCGTCCGTCCTTTCATCCCGGGCTGTCCGCGTTTTGCCCATTCCCGCATCGCCGTCGCGTGGGGGCTCCGCCCCTCCCGTCCTGTCCGCCCTCCTCCCTCCGGCCCGCTCCCCCCCACGCCTTGTCCCTGCCTCGGCCTCGACCCTCGCCGTTGTTCCCCGCTCCTGCCCGCCGCCGCCTTCCCTCATCGCCCTCTCGTCCCTCCTCTGCGCGCGTCGTCGCTCGCACCGTCCTGGCCGCCGCTTCTCCAGGTCCAGGTCCCCATCAGTTTGTAGCCGTCACGACGCTAGGAGCGAGGCCGCAGAGGCAGGAGTTTGCGCTGGCCCGTGGTCCCGAACTTTCATGATCCCGTCCCAGACTCACCCCGCTTCTTTTCGCCGCGAAAGACAGACTCGCGTCCGGCGATGTGTCAGTCGTCGGCCTTTGGAGGCCCTTATCTGGGCCCCGTAGAGAGACTCTTCCTGCGGTTGCGGCACCAGGTGCTTGAGCGAGTCGATTTATGTTCCCGCATGCTGTCTTGAGCCCCCCCCAGGATTTAGATTTGTAGTTCTGGGGCATCAGTAGACGGGTGGGAAGATCTCGCCGCATCGCCGATGCGTTGGCGATGCGGCGCCATCCAGAGCCACATCCGTTCAATCCTGACGTCCCCGATGCATCGGTGATGTATGGGCGAGTCGGTGCGATCCTCCGTCCCCTTCTGCTCTGGCGCTTCTGTGGCGATCCGGACAAGGGTGGGCATTGCATGCGGTTGCCTACTAATTGGGATCCGCGGTGGGCCGTTCCTGGAGCCATCAGATTCTGGCGGTCGACCCTCATGATGTTGCTCTTTCGCGTGGCGTCCTGCGGGAGGGTCGCCATTTCGGGAGTTTGCGAGAGGACGGCCATTGGCTTATTCTGATGGCCTGAAGAAGGCAAACGCGGGGTCGAGTGATCCTGGGTGGCAGATGCGATGAGAGAGGGAGAGAGACACGAAGAGAGAGAGAGAGAGAGAGAGAGAGGGCGAAAGACAACCGATATAAATGTAGACAGAGACAGGGGGGGATAGAGAGAGAGAGAGAGATGCAGATATGGAGGGGGACGGAGAAAGAGAGAGAGGGAGAGGTAGAGAGAGAGAGAGAGAGAGAGCGAGAGAGAGAGCGAGAGCGAGAGAATGAGAGAGAGAGAGAGCGACATAACAGGACAGAGACAAAGAGAGAGAGAGAGAGAAATAACAAGAAACACATAAAGAGTTAAACAGATAGCGATCTATGTATACAGGCGGTAGAGATTGACAGACAGAAAGAGAGTGAGAGAGAGAAATATAGATGTGGATAGTTATTTCTATCCATATTTTTTGATATGGCCGGGGACCCCAGGAAAAGCGCCCCTACCAAAACCTAGCGAACCTAGCACACCCCAGGCCTTTCAGGCAGCCCCCCAGACGACCTGGGGGACCTCATGAGCCCCCGAAGACGGCCCCAGAGGGCCCCCGACTTTGGCGCGCTGCCGAAACGACCCCAGAGAGCCCCAAGACGGTCGACGACGACCCCAAAGGAGCCGTCATACCCCCAAAGATCGCTCCAAAACGTCCCAAGAGGCCTCCCAGAGCACTCCCAAGAGGGCCCCACGAGGCAAAGTTCATTGATGCTCCGTTTGTTGGTGGGTGATTTTTGAGTTCTCCCCTTGTCGGCTTCCCGACGCTCCAAGCCGGCCCACGAGGCTCCCAAGATCGCCCTAAGACGGCTCGGCCCCAGGAGGTTCCCAAGAGGCCCCGAAGTGGCCCCAAAATGCCCCCAGGAGTCCTTCAGGAAGCCCCAAGAGGCCCCCAAGAGTCCCAGAAGATCCCGCAAGGATCCTACAGAAGTTCGAAAATGCCCGAAAAGGCCCCCAAGACAGGCCCAAAGCGGGCCTGGAGCCCGAACATGACCCCAAGACAGCCCAAGAGAGCCGATGCACGCCCCAAGACGGGCTCAAGCCATCACGGGACTGCACCACGCCCCACAGAGGCAGTCAGAATGCTCCGAGAGGCTCCAAGAAGGTCCACGTGACGTTAACATTCTGAACGCGAGCCCTCCCAAGAGCGTACGGCGGCGCAGAACAATTTCAGCGTCGACATAATCGAGACCCGCTGCGACACGGTCCCGAGGTCCCCCAAGGCCTTCACACGGCTCCTTTCCACAGTCCCAAAGACACGGTCATTGGTAAGCCCAGGTCGCCGTTCCACAGTATGCCGTGTCCTCCATGCCATCACCTACCCAAGTCTTTCGTCACTCGCCAGCCCTTCACTGCGTTTCTGGCCCCCTCCATCTGTGGCCACTGCCGCGTACATATTTATATATATATATATATATATCGGCATGCATATGATTACACGTAGATCTGCCCAAGTAGGCATGATATACATGTGTGCGCAAGCATGGATCTTTACCTGCACACATATCAATGTATGTAAATGTGTAGATGTACGTATACCCATAGACCCACACATTTACACCCATATGTATGTGTACATATATATATGTATATATGTGTCTGTATGTATGTATGCATGCATGCATGCATGCATGCATGCATGCATGCATGCATGTATGTATGTATGTATGTATGTATGTATGTCTGTATGTACGTGTGTATGTATGTGTGTATGCATGTATGTATGTATATATGTATGTATGTATGTATGTATGTATGCATGCATGCTTGCATGCATGCATGTATGTATGTATGTATGCATGCATGCATGCATGCATGCATGCATGCATGTATGCATGCATGCATGCATGTATGCATGTATGCATGTATGCATGTATGCATGCATGCATGTATGTAGGTATGTATGGATGTTTGTATGTATGTATGTATGTATGTATGTATGTATGTATGTATATATGTATGTATGTCTGTCTGTCTGTCTGTCTGTATGTATGTATGTATGCATGTATGTTTGTATGTATGTATGTATGTATGTATGTATGCATGCATGTATGTATGTATGTATGTACGTGTGCACACCTATATGCCTATAGATGTATGGCATGCAGATACGTGCGCGCGTCTGACATGTATGCCAATATTCGCGCGCATGTGCACGCACACGCACGCCGCCCGCGTGCGAAACTCGAAGGACCTATGTGCATGGCGCGAAGCGCCACAGCACTCGTGCACATACATACATAGCGAGAAAGAGAGAGCGAGAGAGAGAGAGAAAGCGAGAAAGAGAGAGAGAGAGAGAGAGACGGACCAGGATACATAGAGACGAGCGAGAGAGAGAGAGAGAGAGACAGAGACAGAGAAAAGACAGGGATAGAGAGAGAGAGAGAACACACTACAATAGAGAAAGGAAGCCATAGTACTGTGGGGGTAGAGAGGGGACAATGTCGGTGATCGAGGGTCCAGGGGTTCTGACGTTAGGGGATTCTTCGGGGGGTTCAGAGGCCTCCTGTGGGAACCTTATAGTGGACGCCTCCCGAGAGCGCCAATTGTTGGCACTCTCAGCGGGAGGGGGAAACGCAGCACGCGTTGTCCTCACCAGGACGGGCGGCTAGTCGGCCGAACCATCGATATTTCATCGCTAGCTGCGATCGAAACTGCAAGGCATGTTCTCGGACTCATGGCTTCGCACTTCCCAGTCCCCGTCTCATCTTTCCAGAGTGAGGGCTGTAGCGGAGGAATGCGTATGCACGTTCAGCTTTTCTTTACGGATGCCCAGAAGCAGCCCGCGATCCGCCAGAAGCTATGACAATGAGCGCGGGGTGGGAAATCTAATTGGGTGTGCCAGGCGATGTTCTCTGCTACAACGCCCACATCCGAGGATAGCGGCGTAGTAAGCAATTCGGGCAAAGGGGGAGGATCATGTTGAGGTGGAGGCGCACCTCTGACAAGGGATGGCGATCGAGTGCATGGGGGATAGGAGGAGGAGGAGGAGGAGGAGGAGGAGGAGGAGGAGGAAAGGGGCAGGATGAGGGTTGTTTGCCATGACCATTTTTATCCAAGAGGCTTGCGCCGTTCCGCCGACCCACCATAAGAGCTGCGTGACATCCGACGTTGTATTCGCTGTGTGCCGCTTCCCGTCGTGCTGCCAGCATCTAGCTGTTGCTGCTTCGTCCTCCTCTTACTGCGCGTCTTCTGCGGGGCCTTTGGGGGGGGGGTCGGCGCTTCCCCTTGTCTGGGGGGCAGCTGCAGGTGAGCTCGTGGTCACATTTTCCGCATCGCCCCCTCTTTCGGGGATTGTTGGGGGCCGCGCAATAGGGGGGGCGATAAACGGGGGGGCATCGAGGGCTGCAGAACAGAAAAGATACCCCTTCGGGCTCCATAACAGGTTCTTCCTTGGAGGACCAGGAGGCCGCATCTTGGAGCTTTGAGGGCTTCCGGGTCCTGCGAGCCTTTGGGGGGCCCTCTGGGACTCCTTGTGGGTCTCTTGTGGGCGGGTTAGGGGTCTTGGGGGCCAACTTGTGGGAAAGCCTCCCTCTAGTACGGCGGCGAGCCAGGGGGAAAGTGAGGAGGGCGGGCCTTCTCAGAAGGCTCGGAAGTCCCTCGGCCTTCTCAGAAGTTTTCTAAGCCTTCCCCGAAGACGCACATGACTTCTCAGCAGGCGCGAGGGCTTCTTAGAAGTCCCGCCGTCTTCGGAGGAGGCCTCCTCCTTCTCACTCCCTCCCCTAGCTCGCCGCCGATGGGCCTCTCTTGGGCCCTCTTGGGGCTATGGTGGCCGTCTTGGCATTCTTAGGGGCATTTTTGGCCGTCCGCGAGTCCCCCCTCAGCCGTCTCCGGGCCCCCTTGGGGAGCTGTTAGGGGTTTGGGCCTGTCCTGGGGGCCTGGAACGGAAAGGGGAGAACTCGTGAACGAAAAACACATCCGTATCCGCGGCCTCGCGGGCTAGTACGGAGCGTTTTTTTCGCGGATGCTCCGCGCGGAAAGTATCCGTGCGTCCACGTATCCTCGGGATCGCGCCACGGAATTCAGACCGCGAGGGCGCGGATATGGGTATGTTCGCCGCTCGTGAAGAACGCGAAATTCATTCAAAACTTGTTGGGGAATCAGCAGCGTTCCTTTCTTGAGGCCCTCTTGAGGCCTCTCTTTGGGGTCCCCTGGGGCGTCTTGAGGGCGTCTTGAGTTGTCTTGGGGCCATCTTGGGTGTTTTTCAAACCTCTCCAGCTTGTTGAAGCCCTTTGGAGCCATCTTTCTGGCACCTTGGGCATCCCAGCAGTCCCAGGGGTTGCATTTGGAGGCCCTCAAAAAACAGGGTTCCGGCTCCCAGGAGGGGAGAAGAGGGGAGCGGGATTAAGTGGGGGTCGGTGGATTGCTCTCCGCTTCGCAGGATGCACGCTTGGAATGCGTAATGTGTCGATGTTGCGTCCGAATTGGATGACAGGTGGAATCCTTCTGGAGGTTTCTTTGAGCTGTCGCGGGGCTTCTTGGGGGCCTCTTGCAGGCCTGAGGGAGAGCCTGTTGAAAGCATGTTGAGGCTCCCTGGGGGCCTCTTTGGCGGCCTCAGGGGGCCTCTCGGGGTCAACTTATGATGCGAGGGGAGCTCTCGCGGCCCCTTCAGCTTTCTCATCTTGGGCCCACCTGAGGGCCCTCTCGGGTTTGTCTTTGGGCTTCTTGAAAGCTTCTTGCACTTTCTGAGGTCTCTCCCGTATTAGGATGTTGGGAGCCAGAAGAAACCAGAAACCAGAAACCAGGGGATAACAAATTGCTTTTACCGTAAGGGTTTCGCCCCATGCCGCCGGCCCCCTGTCTCGGATAATGGGAGATGCAAAAGCTAAATCATGAGGTCTGGGCGCCGCCGTGAAGCAGTGTTGGGACCGGCTTGTTTTTCGACCCTGACCCTACGGATCTGCGTGATGGGTGCCGCCGAATTTCAGAAATGTAGCAAATCCCCTGTGTTGTTGCACCCTGACCCCGCCGATCTGCGTGAGGGGTGCCACTGAATCTCAAAAATGTGGCAAACCCCATGTGTTTTTGGACCCTGACCCCGCTCATCTGAGTGAGGGGTGCCGCCATATTTCAGACATCTGGCAAATCCCATGTGTTTTTGGACCCTGACCCGGCCGATCTGCGTGAGGGGTGCCACCGAATATCAGAAATGTGGCAAATCCCATGAGTTGTTGCACCCTGACCCCGCCGATCTGCGTTAATTAGGGGTGCTGCCGGATTTTAGAAATGTGGCAAATCCCATATGTTTTTGGACCCTGACCCCGCTGACCTGCGTGAGGGTGCCGCCGGATTTCAGAAATGTGGCAAATCCAATGTGTTTTTGGACCCTGACCCCGCCGATCTGCGTGAGGAGCGTCACCGAATATCAGAAATGTGGCAACTCCCATGAGTTGTTGCACCCTGACCCCGCCGATCTGAATGAGGGGTGCCGCTGGATTTTAGAAATGTGGCAAATCCCATGTGTTTTTGGACCCTGACCACGCCGATCTGCATGAGGAGAGCCGCCGAATTTCAAAAATGTGGCAACTCCGATGTCTGGTTGCACCCTGACCCGGCCGATCTGCGTGAGGGGTGCCGCCAGATTTTAATATGTTTAGCAAATCCCGTAGGTTTTTGGACCCTGACCCCGCTGATCTGCGTGACGGGTGCCGCCGGATTTCAGACATGTGGCAAATCTCCCTGTGTTTTTGGACCCTGACCCCGCCGATCTGCGTGAGGGGGCCACCGAATATCAGAAATGTGGCAAATCCCATGTGTTGTTGCACCCTGACCCCGCCGATCTGCGTGAGGGGTGCCACTGAATCTCAAAAATGTGGCAAATCCCATGTGTGTTTGGACCCTGACCCCGCTGATCTGCGTGAGGGGTGCCGCCGGATTTCAGAAATGTGGCAAATCCCATGTGTTTTTGGACCCTGACCCCGCCGATCTGCATGGGGGGTGCCTCCGAATATCAGAACTGTTGCAAATCCAATGAGCTGTTGAACCCTGACCCCACCGATCTGCGTGAGGGGTGCCGCCGGATTTTAGAAATGTGGCACAAATCCCATGTGTTTTTGGACCCTGACCCCGCTGGTCTGCGTGAGGGGTGCCGCCGGATTTCAGAAATGTTGCAAATCCCATGTGTTTTTGCACCCTGAACCCACCGATCTGTGTGAGGGGTGCCGCCGGATTTCAGAAATGTTGCAAATCCCATGAGTTGTTGCACCCTGGACCCCGCCGATCTGCGTGAGGGGTGCCACCGGATTTTAGAAATGTGGCAAATCCCATGTGTTTTTGGACCCTGACCCCGCTGATCTGCGTGAGGGGTGCCGCTGGATTTCAGAAATGTGGCAAATCCCATGTGTTTTTGGATCCTGACCCCGCCGATTTGCGTGAGGGGTGTTAATGTCTGCCCCCCAGAAATTCTGAGAACCCTCCCAGGGCGAGGTAGAAATGTCTGTTTTGGGCCTCCCCCCCTCGCGCGGTCCATGAACAAGGAACAGTAAGCAGCAAGAAGCAGATTGCAACAAGGAACAAGCAGCAAGAAGCAGAACTGTAACAGTGGAAACTGGAAGCTGCAACTGGTACACGAAACTGCGAAGCTTGGGCCTACAGCCTGGTGGCTTCACAACGTGGCCGGCGGATCCTCCAGGGGGGCCCTTGGGGTCCTCACGGAGTCCTCTTGCGCCATTTCAGAGGCCAAATTGGGCCGTCTGGGAGCCCTCGTGGGCTCATGTAGCGTCTTGTAGCCATCAGGGATGTTTTTGCGCTCATGGAAGCACTTCTGGAGCAGATGATTTCAGGGAGAGTTTAGGAAGAGTCGGCAAAGTCGCACGCAAGTGACCGCCAAGGGGTCGGGGAACTATGATTTTCGAGCGTTTGGTAAGTGTGCAGCCTTGCTAGGTGGCTAACGCTGGATGTGGTACTTGGGCTGGGATCTTCTTTGGTAGCTGTCCTTCAGCAGCGTCTTTTGATGCGTGCATGTGGTCCGCCTCATGTCGAGCCCGTTTTTGACCTTAACGAATGGCCTGCGTGTCCTGACTCTTGCTCGATGGCCAGTGGAAGGAAGAGCAGGGTGAGCAATCCTGGGGCCTCCTCGACACTACTACAAGAGCTAGAAGGGGCCCGCGGGGGGCGACCACCTGATGAGCGACGACAACGACGACGACGACGACGCCGCCGACGACGCCGACGAACGAACGAACGACGAAATCAAAGGGCTCCGAGCTCTGGAGCACGGGTGTGCAAGATAACAAGTCGCATATCGCATGCGTCTGCCGCTAGCAGCCATCTTGTGCGCATTCTGTTTTGCTTGCGAGCGCAGGATGAGCCCCGTGGCCGAGACTAGGGGAACCGCAGGCGAAGCGCCGGCACGACCAGACAGGGCGTGGAGGTGGGGGGAGGGGGGGGGATGCGGGCAAAGGTCTCGCGTGGGGGAGGAGTATATAGGGGCGACGGGGAGAAAGGGCTCGCGCCGCGCATCTGGGCCCTCGGGCCTCGCCCAGCGGCGGCGGGGCGGTCGCCCCCCGCGCGCCCCCCGAGGCCGCCTGGCCAGGCAGCGCCTCCCGGGGCAGCCTGGGCCCAGCCGGGCACGTCAGCGCCTCCAGCGCTGCGGGCCCGCCCGCAGCGGGGTCGGACCCCCCCCCCAGCTGCGGCCGGCCGCCCCGCAGACACTTTGGCGTCGCAGCGCGGCAGAGGCAGTCCGCACGCGCGCTCGGGGGCAAGCCGGGCGACGGCACCGCGAACTGCCCCGACGCAAGCCAGCTGGCAGCGCGCACGGCGCCGCGGCGCAGCGGTGTCGGCCGAGCGGCGAGTGGTGCCCACGACGCGCACGCCTTGCTCGGCGGCCCCGCGGCGGCCCCGCTCATCGGGGATCGCCGAGGCGGCATTTCTGATCCAGGCCCTCGCCTCACGGAAGTCCAAGCCGCTGACGGCGACGCGCAGCCTTGGCGCTCGCGCTCGTGCCGCCGCCCAGCCCGAGCTGTCCAGGCCTGCGCGCAGCGCCTGCAGGAGGTCCTTCCCAGAGATCCCGTCAACCTCCGTACAGTCGCCTGCCTCCCCCGCGTGGGGCGGGGGGCCCAGATGGTAGGCCGATTTGCCATGGAGGAGGAGGAGGAGGAGGGGGAGGAGGAGGAGGAGGAGGAGGAGGAGGAGGAGGAGGAGGAGGAGGAGGAGGAGGACCTCCCCATCCTCCCCTCTCCCCAGTCCTGCCTCTGGTAGTTGGGGAACCCAGCAGGTACCAATACTGCTACTCCCCGGACCTCTCCCAGGGTGTGTCCTGGCCAGAATTATGAGACGGTTCCAGCAGTGGCGACGAGCGCCTCCACGGAGGCCAAAATCGGCGACAACGACAGAAGGGCAGCGGTATGAGTATTTGTTCCTCCTGAGCAGTGGTGGTGGAAGATTGGCCCATCACGGAACGTCCGCCGCGCCGGCGATGCGCAGCGTTGGCGCCCTCGCGAGGCGGGCTGGCCGCCTCGAGGCCGGCGCCCTCGACCCGCACCACGGGGGAGGGCCGGGGCCGCACGGCCTCCGCGCACGGCTCCGTCTCCCCCTTGGGAACAACGACAGAGGAGAGGTGTAGATTTTAAGCGGACTCTTCGGAGGACAACAAAAATACCCATACCGCGACCGTTCTTTCAGTTCCGCCCGATTGGGCCTCCTCGGAGGCCCTTGTCACCACCTCTGGATTCGCTTAAAATCGTAGTCCGACAGGAACCATCCTGGGGGAGGTACGGCGAGTAACAGATTTCGAGAAGGGGGAGTTTCCTTCGATTTCGAAGAGGAGAAGGAGGAGGAGGAGGATAAGGAGGAGGAGGAGGAGGAGGAGGAGGAGGCCCTCCTGTGGGGCCCTCATTTCTGGAGCCTGCTGGTTTTCTGCGACCCTCTTGTTCTTGAGTACTCCTGTCGTGGGCCCTCCTGTTTCCGACTCCTCACGTTTTGGACCCTCGTGCTGTTGGCCTCCTTGTTGCGTGCCCCCCTGGTGCCCTGAGCCAGCCAGGGCCGAACGCCTACCCGGCGGTTGAGCAACACGTCGCTCCACGGCAGGCCCATTGTGTCCCCCCTGACCGAGGCAGAGGAGCTCCAGGAGGAGGGAGAGGAGGAGGAGGACGGGGCCGGCACGCCTCTCTGGCGTCCCCTCCTCGCCCTGACCGCGGCGCGCCCCAGGAGCGCGCGCAGAAGGCCGCGCGCCTGGGCGGGGCCCCGCGCGCCGCGCCGGCGCGGCGGCGGCGCTGCGGCCGCCGCGCGCAGGTTCGTGGCAGAGTCGGAGCTGCGGCAGCGCCAGCGCGGGCGCTGCGAGGTTGGGCGCCCTTGGGGTGTGACGCGACCCCGGGCCCCGGGCCAGGGGCTGGCTGGAGGCAGCCCTCGGGCAGGCAGGGGGGTGAGGGTGGTTCTTCCCAGAGCCCAGGGAAGGGAGAGGTGACCTCAGCGCCACGCGCGCTGTGTTTCCCCTTTCTTGGGCCTCCTGGGCGGTCCCTCGTCGCTACCGCCGGATTCGCCTCGAAATTTCGATCAGAACGCACCCCAGGAGAGGCCCGGGGAGTAGCGGTATCGGTACCGCTTGGTTTTCCCAAAAGTTTTCCGTGAGCGTTTTTGGACTCAGAGAGTTCCCGAGCGCTCTGGAACGGCGGCGGTGCCCGATACATGATGTAGGCCCACATCGGGCGGACCTCTGGAGTATCAATGTTGGAATGTTTTGTCTTGAATGATTGCTTGCTCTACACGTTGTTCTGGTTACAATTCCCAGGAGGCTGAACTCAGCATCAGCACTTGCGCATATCATATCCTTGATCGAAGTCCATCCTGACCCCTCGAGCTCCCGCCTAGACACTCCCACGCAATCTGGTTTTATCCTTAGCGTGATCAGGTGAGATAGCCCCGTGAAGGGGCTCAGTATTCCTCAGCATCTTCTACTGAATTACCAGAAGTTGCCTACAACATGTATCTTCGTTCCTGACATCGCTCGCTCTTCAGGTCCGCCAGGAGGCCAATCGATACGTCGAGCGGCACGGCATCCGCGAGCTGATGCAGGACCCGACGGGTGAGCCAGGAGGCTCTTGCAGATCTAGCCTGGCAGTATATGATCATGATAATGCAAGGGCGCAACATCAGACCAGGAAGCGCCGATGTCTGCGTCGCCCGCAGGTTCCGCGTCGCCATTTGAGAGGTCTGGGGGTAGCGGTGTGGTATCGGTATCTTTCCGTTCTCCCGGATGAGCATGCGTAAGTAGAGGAGAAGGAGAAGGAGGTGGACGATACGGGGGAGCAGGACCAGACATCCCTAGGATCGGGGGCAGGTGGAAGGTGGAGGAATAATGGATAGAAAGGGAAACGGAAAGCCACATTGGCGAACTCGAGCAACGAGAACGTCCCTCGGTTCGACAGAACAACTTGTTGGGCCCAAGCCCATCCTCCAATCGCATATATATATACACACATGATAGATAACCATTCCGCGTGTTGTAACCTCCGGCCGTACTCGGCATCTTCTGACGCCCTGTGAAGGCCCGAAATAGCGTTACCCGTGCACTTGGGTGCAAAGTTGTGCCGGTCGGCAGGATGTCGGGGAAGTTTGTTCGGCGGATCAGGCTGGCGTGCCGAGCTTTTCGGCAAGTCTGGAGATACTGGTCGCTATCGCTCCAATGGCGGCTGCACGTCTTCCACCCGCTCAAACAGTCCAAGTTGGTCAGCAGCCTCAGCGCGGGCTGTTGCTGAGACGTCTTCGTAGGTTAGACGGATTTTTTCTGGCGAAGGCCTCGTTATCGCAGAGGGCCGTCGCGGAATGTGCCTCAGTGCAGTGATTTTGAAGACTGCTCGCTTGCTCGGGAAGGTGATCCGTCACCCTGACGGGTCGGCTTTGATCGTCGAGTCTAGAACCCCACAAACCCTAATAGCACGATGAAGACGTAGCCTCCCTTAGGTCCCAGTCTCTGCTTGAGGGACTGTCAATCCGGGTTGTCTCGTTCGATACACGTGCAGAATGAACCCTTAGTCCCTACTAGATTGGGCATCTTCCCTCAGGTTCCCTTCCAAAGGGTAAGGGTCGTTATATTGCGAATCATTTGAGACTCATGATTTTCTGTTTTGCAGATTGGTGCGTGCGGCAACAGACCGCTACATCGCTACATGTCATCTGGGTGCGGGGAAGCGGGCCACGAACGGACTGGATCCAGACATTGGCGCCCGACAGAAATCTGGACCGCATGCACTTAGTTCCTTGCGGTAATTGGGATGACGCCGCCTCCAACCAGCATCAGTGACGCAGGATCGTGCACGATTTCTAACCCTCCAGGCTTCTTATTTTCTCTCCTCTTCCGCCTGATCCTCTCTCTCCTCCGTGGTCGAAGTTGACTGCGCCGGTGTATCCGCGAGGCAGACACATTTCGCCGCTGGCCGAGCGACATGTGAACGCACATCCACAGATTTGTCACCATTTTCCAGCTGGATGTTGTTTGAAACGCGATCCAGGCTGGTGTGCGTCGCTGACACTGCCCATTGATTGCTGCAGCCTGCGCGGGGCTGACCTGACTTAAACTGCGCGTGAGATCGAGGGGCTCCTGGCTGGGCCTCCGCCATTGCCCGCTCCCGCAATATCCCCGCGAAGCGCGCATCGGCACTTCGAGATTGCAGCGGGAGAACAGATGCTCCCATTCGTCGACCCCTCCCTGCCTGACATGTACGCGATCACCACTCGGAAGCTGGAACACGTCTCGCCAGTGGCCACTGCGGCCAAGGGCTGTCCTTCAACGGATCAGGCGCAGACGTGGGCGCGTGCGAGAGAGGGCGAGGGCGGTCCCGCGGGGCAGATCTCGCGGACCTGGGCTCCGATGGCTCTGCTGCCATGACCTCGCGCGTCGAACGGCGGAGCCTCTTGCCATCCAGAGCCGTGCCCTCGTCCACCTCGTCCCACCGTGCGCGGGCCTGCTCGTCCAATCGCGCCGTACTCGATGCAATGCCAGCTGCCTGGTCGCATCCACAAAGCTACGCTCGAGATCGCGAGTTGTTCTGGATCAAGACGGGGAGCTACTGTGACAACGGCGACCCGCCATGCATCGCGACTCTGAAGAGCAATGTCGATGGGGTTGTACGCGATCGTCTTGGACCCGCCCTAGCATCGTATTTTTCCTGCAGCCAGTTACGCAGCTACAACACTTTGCCTGACATGTCAAGCAAAGCTTCCGAAGCGCGCGAAAAAGGACACCAAGAGATCTCCTTCAGCAGCCGTGTGAGCATGCTCTCGAAGCAAGCCGTAAACAGCAGCTCGAACCGTTGAAGTATTGTAGCAAAAGGCTGTGGCCCAAATTACTTTTGTGCGAAGCCGTGGATTGCGATTCTCGCCTCCTCCATTGGCGTCCCCGAAAACACGATGCAATCTTTACACCTACCTACCAGGTTCCAGGCCAGCCACCTCTTGGTATGAACCACCGTCGTCATGATACATTTGCCAGTTTTCCTCGTCGGGAGGGAGGGGGCACCCGTGTCCGCGATGACGGAATGATACCCTCGAGCCAGAATCAGGCTTGCGATTATTGACGCGTTGTTTGGGCACAGCCATCTTCGATGCAGGGCTGTCTTGCGGCTTTCTCCGCATCGAGGGGAGATGCCATACCCATAGCTCTTGCTTCATCTTCATCGGCCAGGCTCTTCCCACGGCGATGGCAGATCAAATTTTGCGTAACCCGTCTTCAGCCCGACGGCGAGATTGATTGTTGGCCCCTTTTTGAAGGCCTTCACCGCTGAAAAGCTCAGCTGCAGTTTCCAGAGCTTATCACGAGCCGAGTTCTCTCCAACTCAGATACGGGGCCTCTACAGCCTTCAGAACGCGATGTGGCCTCATCGGAAAACGCCAAATCGCACCAAGCCCTTATCCTCAGGTTTGGCGTGCCATTCTCTCGGATGTACGGGATCCCCTCCTGAACTCGAGGACGCAAGTGACAACCGCAGAAATAAGCCCTCGCACAGCCTGGGCCAGCTGCCACGGGTGAATTGGCCGAACGTGTGAGCGCCACCGTCAGGTCATTCCATTTGAACAGCAGGCCGCGTTGTCGCCTCCGCGAACCAGGTGCGCAAACACACTTGCAGCCAGCAAGTGTTAACGTCCGCTCCATTGGTCATTCCTCTCAGCGCGAATGTCGAGCGTCGAGCTTCAGCATCTCCCTTGGGTGGCTGAAAACATTTCTCCTCCGCTGACCCACGTCGAAGCTGAAGGCGAGATCTCACGAAGGCCCCAGATCAGAAGCACGTGCCCTTACCCCCAGCTCTCTCTAAAAGCCCAGATGCTCGCCAGAAGTCCTGGCAGCTGTGCAGAACCTGTGCTTGCGCTGGTTCGTGGCGTTTCCTCTGATTGCCCGCTCGGTTCCCGTGGGCCTCCGCAGGCTGGCGGGCTCCAGAAGCGACGCCCCGAAAAGACTGGCTCTGATCCCGCGCCGAAGCTGGAGCCCACAACGACGGGGACGGTTGGCGACGCCTGACGACGCTAGCGGTAGGTAGGTGGGATGGTCATCGTTGTCATTGCAGCTCTGACGCAGCATGGTTTGCTCCAGTCCGGAGGGCTAGCTGGCAACGGCCAATTTCCCTTGCCAAGGGGGGAGGAGGTGTATCCGCGAAGCCCAACAAGAAGAGAGCCCGCAACGACAAGGATGCCTGACAACGTGCTTGCTGCCACCAGCGTGCGTTCAGATGATGACGCCCTTCGCTCCTGGACAGATCCTGCGACCCTCCAGGATCCCGCGTCGCCCGCGGGCTTGGGCAGCATGTCCGAGAGCCAGCGGTGGTGCTGTGCCGGGCCGTAGGGAGCGACGTGCTGCCATGTCGGTGCGACGAGGGCGTGCTCAGAGAGGTCGTGGGCGTCACAGAATCGCCTCGGCGCCCGAAAGACAGAAAGGAGGAAAACGACGGGCGGCACGGACATCCTCCAGGACGAAGCACCCCTGTTCTGGCCGAAGCGTTCCATGTTTCGTTTGCCGCAAGGGCGCGGGGCGTGGTGCTGAAGCGAAAGCTCCCCCTCCCCATCTTCCTCTCACCTCCTCTGCTCTCCCTCCCCCGTCCTCCAGTGTGGCATTATCCCCGCTTCTTCTGCGCACTGGCGGCGTACACTTGGTGCAACGCCATGCTGAGTCCAAAAGTTTTCCTCGTCCTCCTCGTCCTCCCATCCCCGCTCCCCCCCCCACCCTGCGGGGGACGCGTGCGCAGACCCCCTGCTGCAGAGGCCGCGGGCGCGGCTCCTGCGCCCCACAGGCACTGCAGGAACAGCCACTCAGTCCTGCACAACGGGCGTTTACTGAACGTGCCCGGACGTTTGCTAAGAAGGGGTTACGGATGAAGTAGGAATATAAACAGGCCTGCGCAGGAGGACGCAAGGTGAGGACGAGGGATGTCGGATACGGAGGCACACATGTTTCTTCTCCTCCTCCGTCCTCCCCCTCATCTTCGCCTTCCTCCTACCCCCCCATCGTCCTCCTCGTTTCCAGATATCCGACGGGGTTCTGTCTTTGCCACAAGCAATCAAAGACGCGTGCCACGGTGCCCGCGACCTCCTCCCGTATCCATCGTCGATCCATCTTTGTTGGTTCAGGGGCCCTGGACGGGATTGAGCAACCGCAGCCCCAGGTGCTGTAGTTGAGGAAACACCACCGGCATTGAGACAGACATGCAGTCAGAAGCCTGAGTTCGCCTCCCGCTGTCCTCCTCCGCCTCCTTCGCTTCTTTTTAACCCTCATCCTCCCCGTGCTCCTCCTGCTATCACTGCGCGACCAGGCAGAGTCTCCAGAGTCCCCGTGGTCCTCCTGCTCCTCCTTTCGCATCATCCTCCCCCTCCCTTTCACCCTTTCGCCGCCTTTTTCGCCTACTCTTCCTTCTCCTCCCTCCTCCATACCTCCGTCCCTACTCGCCTCCGTCCTCCTTGGAGCAGGGCCGGGAGAACTGCTGGCAGCGCGCCGCGAGCCCCACCGCCGGCGGTGGTCGCGGGGGCGGGCGCTGGGGTCAGGGCTTGTTCCAGCGGCTCGTGAAGGAGCGGCCCGACGACCCCCGCGCCTTCCTGCAGGAGCAGCTGGGGCCCTGAGGAGGATCGATGAGGCGATGGGGGCTGGGATTATGATGGTGATGCGGAGGAGGAGGAGGGGGAGGAGGAGGAGGACCAGTGTAAACCCAAGGCTCATCAACGATGTTGGAATGATCCCCCCGTCCAAGGTCCCTTGTCACAGGCCCCTGCAAGGGTTCATTTCCACTGAGGGAACTGCCTTGTTGGGAAGACCCTGCCACGAATCAACATGACTGTTGTGTCTTGACGATCCTGCATCGTGCCTGAACACCACTCCTGGGACGTCGACACAGCGAATCAACGTAATTGTTCTGCCCTCACAATAGTGGGTCGCTCCACACATTATGCTTGGCACGTTGGCCATGGTAATCCGCGAAGCAATTGCAATCGTCTAAGACGAGTGTTCGCGGCTCTAAGGTGAAACCACCTTTTGAAAAGGAGCCGCGCTCAATTCGCGAAATAAATCGCACGTGCGCGTCGCTAAGCCGAGAGCCACGTGTTGAATTCGGCCCGCCTTCAATCGTTGCGACTTTTGCACATGTGTAAGACGAGGGTGCGCGGCACTAAGGCAGGATCAACATTTTGAAGGCGACCTGTCGTGAATCCGCGAAATTATGGCAAATGTTTGAGACACATGTACGCAGCGCTAAAGCGACAGCCACATTCTGAAAACAACCCACTCCCAATCCGTGAAACTTTCCTGCATATGTTAAACGAGTGAGCGCGGCGCTGAAGCGAGAGTCAGATTTTGAGAGCCACCCGCCTTCCACTTGTGAAACGTTTGCCAAAGTTCGAGCTTCAGTGCCATCAGTGGTGAGGAACCCTCAAGCGAAACGCCCAGCCCCCCCGTTCGACTGGCTTCGGGGTGCGAATGGGAGCAGTTATTTGCAAGGACAAGGAAAAGATGAAGGAGGAGGAACAGGAGGAAGCGGAGGAGGAATGGTAATTCTTAGCCGTGGGAAAATAAAGGTTACCCTTGAAAAAACAATACGTAAACACAATACGTAAAACAACAATACGTAAACGTGGGAAAACAACAACATGTAAACCACAATACGTAAACACAACACGTAATCACAATACGTAAAGACAAGCACGTGAGCGCCACACGTAGATACAATATATACAAGCAAAACCACGTACAATCAAAACTAGTCACAAACAAAACCACCTACAACCACAACCACGTACACACAGCACCACGTACAAACATTACCACGTAACAAACAGGTAAGAAAACGTACGTGAAGCAACACGTAAAAACAGTACGTAAACCATTACGTAAAAAAACAATACGCAAACACAATACGCAACAACACTATGCAAAACCAGTACGCCAAACCACAGTACGCAGAAACAACACGTACTAACACCACGTGCAACCAAACACGTGAGGGCCACACGCTGTTACAACACGTGCAAACAAAACCACGTACACACATTATGTAAACCACAATACGTAAAACAATACGTTTAATCAATCCGTAACCACAAAACGTAACGACACACACGTGAGCGCCACACGTATGAACAACACGTACAAACACAACCACATCCAAACAACACCACGTACACAACAATGCGTGAAGTAATACGTAACACACGTAACACAACACGTAAACCAACACGCACAAGCGGTCCGCGAAACCAGCACGCAAAACAACGGTACGCAACACCAACACGTAGCAACAACACGTACACACACACACACGGGAACGTTACACGTAGATGCAACACGTACAAAAAAACACGTAAAAACAATGTGTAAACCAATACGTAACACAACGTGTAAAAACAACACGTGAAACAACACAGCACGTAAAACCAACACGTAGGAACACCCTCCACCTTCATCTTCCGTTTCTTCTTCTTCCTCCGCTTCTTCCTCCTCCTCCTCCTCTTTCTTCCTCCTCCCTCCTCCCTCCTCCCCCCTCCATCCTCCCTCCTCCCTCCTCCCTCCTCCCTCCTCCTCCTCATCCCTCCTCCCTCCTGCCTCCTTCCTCCTCCTCCTCCTCCTCCTCCTCCTCCTCCTCCTCCTCCCCCTCCTCCTCCGTCCTTCCTCCCTCCCCCCCTCCC